CAGACTATTCAAAAAGTAATATAACAAGTTTGAGAGGCATTAAGAAAGATTAGTGCCTTAACAGGAGGCTCTGGGGAAGTCAATATTACCAAAAACTGCATCAAGGGGGAGGTGGAAAGGAAAAAATGTGAGAGCTGACTGGCCAAGTTATGGTCATTTCCGGGTGACTTGCTTCCTCAAAGGTCACTCCATGAATGTTCATTCTTCCTCCAGCTTGTACTGATTATCTTGAGAGAAGGTCGATGTTGATAAAGGGAGACACAATAAAATAAACTGTTATCCAGGTTCTCCCTTGTGTGTTACCACTCTAACATAGCACATACTATATTAATTCTGTTTCATCCACTGTAGGTGAACAAGTTTCTTTGAAAATGAACCAAAACAGCCCAAGTATAAGGAACAAAATGGTCTAAGTATATCTTTAATCATCCATTCGGCAATAATCTATCATACACTACATTTTTCAAAGGTGGTCTACCTTTTGCCACAATTCAAGATGCCAGAATTACAGCTGGGTTTTTAGGCTGATCAAACTACAGCCACAGCCCTGTTTTCATTAGCTCAGTGTGAAGTAATTTAGTTCCAGAGGAGACTACACAGAGGTAGAGAGGGAAGGAGGGAGGGGAAAGGGAGAAAGAGAGAAACAGAGAGAGAGAATGCCAGAGAGGACACATGCATGTGAGAAAAGGAGCCGGACTCCAAGAATTGCAGCTTCCTAAAGAGATATACATTCTTTTGCAAATTTCAGGTATTTGGTTTTTAAATTTTAATGCAGAATTTTTTAATACTGGTTTGAATGTATTTTTAAACTATATCAAGGCTGCAAAAGGACTCTGTTGTGGAAAGTGTCTGCAGTGCTTAAAAAAATCTCAATTTACTTGTTAAAATGGATCTACTTCAGCACTGACTTAAGCATTTGAGGATAAAGTGACTCATACTCCTCTTTCTTAAACAATACCTGATGAAAAAGACCACCAGATTTTACTTTCCTAAAAAAATTAATTTTAAAAGTATTTTTTAAATTAGACCTTGCTAATAAAGAATTAAGGCAATTCATATGATTATTTAATACAGTACTTGAAAGCAAAAATTGTGGCCAACTCACAATGCACAGCAATGAGGAATGTCAGATTAATCCCACACACTGTTTTAAAATTATTTCATAACCTGTGCCACAGTAATTAATGAGGTTAGTAAGATCAGAGATTAATGTACTTAAAGCAGCTTAGATGAATTTCAAATGTATGATAAGGAATACATGAATAATGAACACTTGCTAGTCTGAGCAGTTTTCAAAGAGTGCAACTTTGATGAGTAGCCAGTATTCCATGTACTAAATATTTACTATAAAGACTCGAAAAATCTTAAGGATGGGAAAACAATTTACAGCATGTATATCACATGGGAATCCACACTGCCAACCCTCTTCCCACATTTATAACTGCATGCAGAGCCAGAAGAAGCTACGCAAATATGCTAAAACTTTTAACAGAGCACTCCTCTTTTGCACACTCTCTACTTTCTTATAGGACTCCTGGAGAATATTAGAAGTTTCCAGACTGCAAAAATAAGTAGAGATTTTGAGAGGGTTGCTTTGTGGTTCCCCAAATCTCACTGCTTTTTAAGTCCCTGAGAACTGAATTAAAATGTTTGAAAAGACTGTAAGGCATTCCAAGCAGTAGCACAACAATCCGAAAAAAATGAGGTATTTGTACTAGCAGTAACAGTTCAGTTTCCTATCCTTTTGCAGAATGAACTTCATGGCCTCAGGGAAAAGTTGGCCCTGATGTCATGGCATTGAGAAATGTAGTTCATTAAGATCTTAAGCAACAAACAACAGCAAGAATTAGCTGCTATACTCATTCTTGATTTATCGCTAAGAAACACAGACTCTGCAAACAGAAAGGGCCTAAAGGGTCAACTAACACATTCTCTTGCCAATTCATGATTGTCCCTGATTCTTTTCCAGTGCTTTGCCAATCTAGTTACAAAAGAAAGTTTAGAAATAAGCGGTTTACTACTTCCCCTTGTGAGGATATTCAAACTCAAAGAATACTCAATTTCACTTTAACTTTTCATACTCTGTTGCTTGGGTGGGCATTCTTCCACTCTGATCCCTTTCCTCTGAGATTTACCTCTTTGTTCCTTGACAAACAATTCTTCTCTCTTTCATATGTTTCCATATTTCATAGCATTTATGTATCTTCACTCTTAGACATTAATTACCCCACACATACACACTTTTTTTCTACTTGTATCCAACTCTTTAAACACATTTGCTGATCTTCTTATGGCTCTCTCCAGTTTGGGTACATACTTCCACTAGCTGGTTCCCACCAAAGAGAGCACTAAGCATTTGCTTTATCCAGCATGAATGCATACTAAAAATTGGACAAGAAAAAGGAAAATAACTTGTGTTCTCCAAGAACATAACAGCTCTGAATGAATGACTAATCAGAACGTTTTAGGGGGAAATTAGATGCCATGAAATATTCTAGTTGCTATAATCTAAGGATAAAGCTTTGGTCTCATGATAAGCTTTCTGTCATCCTGTTGATCTTACAGTTTCCTCATTAAACTGAAGACAAAACAGCAATGCACTGACATATATTGCTTAGGCTACTGAAGTGTACCTCAGTGGACTTAACAAATGATGCAATACATTGAATGCTGCTATTAAATCTCCTCTAATTTCTACTTGTTTTTATTTTTTACCTTTTTTTTTTTTTACTTAGATAGGTTATTAAGGCTTTCTATTTGTTTTAGCATCACCTAAAGATTCAGCTCATTTTTTGAATCTGCTTCTGTTTATCTATTTTTATGTTAAGCTGAATCAACTAATAACAAATCAACTCACGGTTAATTTCTAAACTCACCTTCCCTGTATCTTCATTAATTAATAAACACATATTTTAAGCAGCATCTTTAATCCCTAAAGTATCCCTGAACAGACAGGTCAGGGAAAATATGGAGAAAACATTTATTGGCTAATATACCTCCTCTGTGCCTTCCATATTAGATTTTTTGTAATGACTTAGCTCCAAGAAGTATTTCTCTTTCTAATTGCGTAACTGAAATGTATATATATATAAATCTGACTCTGGGGCTGTATAGTAGACTGCCAAATGTATTCTGGAACACACTGTTTTACAATCTTTCTCCCCAGTGGAAGTCTGACCCTTAATTGTTACATTTTATCTATTATCCCCAAATCTCTTTTTTAAATTCAATGACATTAAAGTACATAGCTACCCCACTTCTTCACCTTTTGCCTTCCTTTTCTGAAGGTATCTGTTTTTTTAATACCAATACATTTTGCAATGCATCTGTTATCCATCCATAATTCCTTCATCCTTGCAATAGCTGGCAGCAGCAGTTTAAATTACCCCACTTGGTTCACAAGGCTGCTGGTATTTTCATACAAACATTTCAGTTCTTTGTTTTACTGATAACTAATTTGGTTGCTAGTTTAGGAACAATCCTTTCACTAATTATATACCCTAGCTAAATACCATCTCTCAGTCTGTCCTCAGATATTCCTTCATCTTTTGCAATGCCTTGATGTATTTAACTGCCCTCCTCCTGTGTACTGAAGCCAGACAAGAAGATTACAGTCACTTCCAACTGTCTTCCCTTATTCCTCAGCTTAAGGCTCTTATCTTTTGTTTGAGCCTCACTCCTAGGAAGTCACTTTCCCAGATATTCTAGTGGAATTCCAGGAAAACGAGATTTCATTGAAAGGGAAAAATTAAAATGTCAGCACTTTGAACATATAACAAATATAGTAGATTTTACCTCAAATTCCTTCCAAATTAGGAAACTTTCTAATGCACTTAAAATATTGTGATAGCACTTAAAATATTATTGACTTCCAGAGGAACATGAATAGATATGAAATAGGTTGTAGGAGGTCCAGGTCAGTTTCTTTTCTTTAAAAAGTATTTTCTCCCATATGTTGAGATGGCCACACAATTTACAATTAGTTATTCTAACTAGTAACTAAATAATAACAACATGGTTTATCCACATACACTTCTGAAACTGTTAGAATTATTTATGGAAACATGAGCTCTGGAATAAAATAAATCAACAAATTTACTTTTTTGGGTTTGGGGTTTTTTTTCAAGATAAGCAAAAAATATAATGGCAATATGACCTTGACTTTATAATTTCCTAGTATGAGTGGCAGTATAAAAATAGAAGAAAAATATATTCACTGTAAAAAAAGGGGTTTTTTTAAAAAAGAGCAATTTTAGGTATAGTGCAGCCTTTGCCTACCATATTACTAGAAAATGAGACTCGAGAAAGGACCATATTATTCAAAATATTACTAGATTTTGGGTTCTTTCTGATAAGGTTTCATGTATATGAACAATAGCCCTTTGTATTTAACAATAGGTAGGGAATAACAACAGTAAAATCATCCTGCTCTCTGGCTGTTTCTGTATATCGTGTAGAAGTTGTTTTAATCTAATGTGTATTGTTGCATAATATCCCTAGGCACTTTCAAGTAAAAGCTAAAGCTGTACAGAAAAGCCAACATTTTAAATGGGTCTTGTCATTAATGCTTTATTAATTGCCCCAGGCAATGCAAACCCAGAGCTAGGCAAGCTATAACAATATGACACTTTAAGGTCAAATCCAATTCCTGCTGTGTTTTATAGAGTGGGCCAAATATTGAGTTAACAGCAGGAAAGAACAATTTATTGGGCTTTTCTCCATCTCCTGATTATCTGATCTAAATTAAATCAGTTAGGTTGTTTTTCTCTAAAAACAAAACACCTTTTGTCCACTCAGCTTCAAAGAATCTTTGATTGTTTCTGTTAGAACAATAAACTTTAGTAACATCTATTTATTTACACTGTACCTAGTATACTGAATATAAAGAAATTAAAATATATAAATATATAAATATAAAATAAATATAGCATCCTCTTACATAAAACTAAATACCATAAATGAAAATGCACATTTATCTATTTATTTGATATATATGTTACCTTCACATCTGAGGTATCTCTTTGGCTGTTCCTCCAGGACCTGGCCACTGAAGAGAAGGTTCGATCTGGGTGGTCAAACTTGCCATCATTTGCATTTAGAAAGAATGTTGTAAAGGGCTCCTGTAGTTAATGAAATTAAGACAGATTAAGAAAACAGTACAAGGAATCATGCAGCAGGTTTCTGTCAAACTCCAAATGCCTTTTGTAGATCAAAATACTTCATAAAGGCAGAATTAAAGAAAAACATGGCACCTCATAATTATATGTATGCATGGGTATCTGCACTGAACACCTGAATACATTTATTGGCACTAACACATTTTGCACACACAAATCTTGAGTTCTCTTCCATAACACTAATTACCCACCAGTAGCAGACCCATGTAGCTCAGATCCAGTTCACAATACTTCCTACTTCATTGCAACCACCATAAACACACTCTGTGTTATTTATATAACTGCGCTTTGTTTACCCCTTGTATGTTGGTATGTCAAAATAAAATCTTAAAAAAATCCCCTCTCTTAATCTTCCTTTTCATTTAATTGAAAGGACCTCAGTATGTTCCACTTTGCCTCATGGTGAGTAGAACGGCTCTATGGCCATTATGAGGCAGACTATGGCTATAGGAAACCTAGCTTCATCATTACTTTGGGGCAGAGACAGATTAAATATTTAGAGTCTTTAGTTTTGCTAATTCTATCTGAAACCACGATCCCAATACTTACTAAATGGAAACAGCTACTAACTTCTGGGGAAGAAGAGCTCAAGTCTTAAACAGTCTGGATAACCCATTTTCATGTCCCCACATTCCACTGCAGGGAAGGGGTTAACAAAGGACCAAATCTTTATTTGACCTGAATACTGAGATCATTGCCAGCTCCCTGGTTTTCCGGCACCACTCCATTAGCTCTCTTATTCAACTGTATATTTAGCAATATGTCTACAGAGATGAAAGTTGCTTCTTCCTCTTTGCCAAAGTCTCCTGGGGAATGTTTTAAACAGGGTCCCTTTTACCAAATTCACACCTAAATTTACTTCCTTGCATATCCTGATCATTTGGAAATTTTGTTAATCAAAGCAGTTCATAATTAGTAGATCACAATTGGTATTACACTATTATTCATCTATTATTTTAATTTTACTCTATATATTCTCTGTTTCATTTTCTGAAACTTTTGAGGAAAGCATAGAACTCCTCCTTTGATAAAGAATTTATGAAGAAATCATGCCACATTATATCTATTGTGTGTAAATTACCCCAGGTTAAAAAGGATTGAAATAATTCATGTTTACGTAGCATTTAAGAGTAACTAAAATGTACATAAGGAAAGCATGCATGCAAAGGTAGTGAAAAGATACAAAAAGAAGAGGAAAATACAAGAGGGAATTCAGACTTCTAGAGACCGTTGTTTCTCTATCTCCATGTCTTCCCAATTACACAACAGTCAACACAGGTTATTTTCTTTCAAAGAAGAAAAAAGTTTACATTTTTTTCTCTAAATGAGAAATGATGTCTTATTGACATCATATGTCAATATGTAAGGGAATCATTTATATTTGAAAAAAGATTTCTTCTTCTTAACTTCCAATGTCTATTGGTGCAAATATGGAATTGATTTCATTATAATAATGCAAGACATTCTACTGCTAATTAAATGGTTGAGGTTTTTATCCATGTTTTTTTCATCTTAAAACATTGGGAATTTGTTTTTAAAGTACAGATTCAAAAGAATAGGATCTTATAACTATAATTTCATCAGTGCACTTATTCCAATCAGAGAATCCTAATATGTGTTAAATAATTAATTAAAATAATTGAATTTAACGAAATCATCGCAGTATAATTACTTATTGGAGGACCCCAAATGCCATTGCAAACAATTACTTTGTTTGCACTCGTAAATATTGAAAGACTGTGGTGAGGAAGAGGTTTATAATTTAAACAGAATATTAAAATTTAACAGTAGCTCAACTAGGTGAGTAGTATAAACTACCACCATGAAATATTGAAAGAAAATAAATTAAGTTTTTATCTATTCAGATTTTACAGTGCTCCACATAGTGAACTTCATGTAAAATATAAATGAAAATGTGTATGCTTCAGACCCAGAACTATGAAATGGAAAACAACATACACAGGAATTAGATTATTCTAATTTACCCTAAACCTCTATTAATATTATAATTTTAACATTAAATTTACAGGTTTTTAATATTACAATTATTTTGGTTTTAACTGAATTCCTCCTCCAAATTACCTATATATATTTGCAATAGCAATTATGCTATTTTTGCTAGCTTGCCCATACTGTTGTTGATCTGAGTACAAATAATTAGTCTTCTACCAACTCCTACCTATCTTTTTTTTTTTTAATAAGATACATATAATTTTTGTGAATATTATTGTGGAGCAGACTGTGGATCATTGCTGAGGTTCTGAAATCAGAAGCAGTTGATGGATTTAAAAAAAGCAGAAACCAGAAACCAGAAAAATGATGTAATTACAATAAATAATGTAAAAATACTAATCCAAACTTCTATGACAACATTATTTTAAGCATCTAAGACAAATACACAAAAGCAGTAACATTCATAATCAAGGATTAAACTTTTAGCAGCTGAGCACTACAGGGTGCCCTATTATGCTATCCTGCCATGGCCTGTTGTGCCTATCTTTTTGGATTTTTAATCCGTAGCAGAAATTCAGAGCTTTCACTGGCTTTATCTCAGGCCTCTCACATAATTTTAAGGTAATTTTTATTCTCTGGGAAGTCAAGTGCTTATATTATATAAATATAATTCATATCTGTATTCAATATACTCATTTAAATACTGTTATTCTATGATACCGATTACTGTCATTTCATGTAAAGGTTTTGTTGCTGTGAAAGCTATAAAGCTGCACAATGTTTTCATTATAACTCCATCTCACTCGTTCAAATATTCTGAATAAAATTCATGCCTTGTTCACTGCCAACAAGAAGAGAAATTTGTGGCGTACTTGATTACATTGAATACAAGCTTGAGCTTTGAGAACAAGGAATTTTTCAGTTCAACAGCACTTCTCTCCCTCCATTCCCTTTTAACAGCGCCCAGACTCATTTGAATCATTTATGGTGGGAGTAGGGGAGGGAGGAAGAAGGGATGTGTTCATTCTAAGACATCCTATGTCAAACAAAAATGTCATTTCAGCCATTTGTAAGAGGAGAAAGAGAGAGTATGTAGGGATTTGACAGAATAATGTAGACCTTTTGTCTGATATATCTATGACTGTCCTGCTCAAATCTACCAAAAAGAAGACTCAGATTCAATCCTGTTTACAGAGGACTTCCAGTACTTCTCACCTTTGAATCTCACTAAAAACTGGTTTTAGCTCAATCAGACCTGACTTATAATAAATCCAGAATTTCTTCTATCTTGTACAAATACTTAGTCATTGCAATAGAAACTGGAAAACAATTATTCTCTACAAACATCTTGACTACCATGTTAGAGAATCATGCTCCCTAATACTGATCTCTGTTTCAATAAAGATGCAACTGTTTCACACAAGCATAATTTCTTCAACAGCAACTACTAAGAGCATCCAAGTGTACCATAACTCTATCCTATTTCACCTAAAAATCTGGAACCAATGTTGATATTTACATTCTACATGATTCAAGCCAGAATTCATTCTTCTACCTTTCTTTTTCCTTCTGTCTACTTCTCAGGTCAAGTCACTGGAATATATGGCATTCTGATGTAGCATTCTTGATTTAAACCAAGTGCAAACAATCATTGGTTTAAACTATTCTGCCTTCTGCAACTTAAATATTCACTGCTCCAGATGGAAATGCACATGAAGAAAATGACTCTTGAACCAGGTGATAAGGTCATCAAGTTATAAACTATGAATATTCAATTTCATTTACAGAAAAATTGAACTATGTCAACAGAATAATGCATCCCTTTCTAGAATACTTTTTGTTCTGTTTGCTGGAGCAAACCTGTGGGTGATGTTTGCTTCTACAGAATAAGTAGAATTTCTTGGGTTTAGATGTAAACATGTGTAATGTGCAAAAATGTTTAATCATGGTTTCATTTCAGTAACACCTGAAAGGAGGGAAAGGCAATATTATATAAATAATGGTTGTCTGTTGGTTTTTAGCATGATTATTAACCTGTCTGAACAATATGGTAGACTTCCATATTCATTATTTCCCTCTGTAAAGTAGCTATCTAATCTTTAATATAGTCTTCAACTTTGAAAGAAAGCTGATCATTTTCAATGAACAGTTGATTCTGGATATAAACCTGTTCCTGGAGATCATGCAGGATTCACTTGTAATTATAGCACTAAGTATTTCTAGGCTGTGGCTCAGTTCATGTCTTATAAAGCTAGTTAGAGGGTTGTTGCCTATCCTTTCATAATTCTAGCATGATGTAGTGGTCTAAAATATAAAATGGAATAGCTTAAATAAACATGTTCAGGTAAATTAAGAATCACAATTTCACTTCACATATGAATGTGTGCTTGCACATATGGAAAGGGGGCTGCAGAGAAAGAGGGTGTACATATTATCTTGGTTTGTGAGAGATTCAAAGTCAGCTGTATAATCTTCAAAAGGGATCACAATCATTGTGATATACGGCCTGGTGAGGTATGGCCATTGCTTATCCTGAAACTGGCTAGTGTTCCACAGAAGAGAAGGGAACATACCTGGACTTGCACAACTAACTCACAGAAAATGGAAACAGAATCTTTTTAGATGCACTTGTAGCTCATAGCACCAATTAAGCAGTACACCTTATTCTATTAAGTGCAATGAAAGGCAGAAGAACAGAAATTAATAACAAAATTTTTGTATTTGCTGTAGTTACCAGTAGCTTCAAAATACATGCTAAGCCATTGTTGATTTTTTGAGAACATAATGAATAGGTCACTCTTAAAGATGGATTTTTACTGGACACTCTTAGCATACAAAAGAACTCAAGAGAAAACTGTACTACTAGTGAAAAATCTGTTAGTGACAAAACAGAGGCAGAGACTGATGATATCAAAATCAATTACGCAGGACAGAACTGATGCTAAGGCATACAAGTCTTTTAAAAAACTAGCCTGATATGTGTATTGGGTTTGTGTGGCAAAGTTTTGGTAGTGGGGGGCTATAGTAGTGGCTTCTGCTAGAAGTTGACAGGAGGTTCCACCATATCCAACAGAGCCAATGCCAGCTGGCTCCAAGACAGAACCATCGCTGGCCAAGGCTCAGCCTGTCACTTATAGCTATAGTGCCACTAGGATAACACACTTAAGAAGGGTCAGGGGAAAAACTGCAGAAGAACAACATTATACAGAGGAATATGTGAGAGAAAGCACTCTGCAGACACCCAAGTCAGTGCAGGAGGAGAGGGAGAAAGTGCTCCAGGTGTCAGAGCAGAGATTCTCCTGAAAGCCTGTGGTGAAGACCATGGTGAATCAGGGTGTCCCCCTGTAGCCCATGGGGATCCACCATGAGATCCACCTGCAGCCCCTGGAGGACTCCACACCAGAGCAGGTGGATACCTGAGGGAGGTCGTGACCCCCTGGGAAGCTTGTGCAGGAGCAGGCTCCCGGTAGGACTTTTGACCGCGCAGGGGATCCCACTGGAGTCCTGAAGTACTGCACCCCGTGGAAGGGACCCACACTGGAGCAGTTCATGAAGAACTGCACCCTGCAGGAAGGACTCACTTTGGAGAAGTTCATGGAGGACTGCCTCCTGTCGGAAGGATCCCATGCTGGAGCAGGGGAAGGGTGTGAAGAGTCCTCCCCCTGAGGAGGAAGGAGCAGCAGAGACACTGTGTGATGAACTGACCACACCCCCCATTTCCCATCCTCCTGTGTGAGGGAGGGGAAAGGAGCATGAGAATTTGGGAGTCAAGCCCAAAGAAGAAGGGAGTGGGGGGGGCTGAAGGTGTTTTAGGATTTGGGCTTGTTTTCTCACTATCCTACTCTGATTGGATTGGTAATAATTTAAACTAATTTCCCCAAGTCTAGTCTGTTTTGCCCATGATGATAACTGGTAAGTGACCTCTCCTTGTTCTTATCTCAACCCTCAGGCCTTTCCTTATATTTTCTCTCTCTTGCCCAGCTGAGGAGGGGAGTAACAGAGCATCTTTGATGGGCACCTGATGTGGAGGCAGAGCACACCCACCACAATACATCAGATAAAGGAAAGGAACAGAGGGAAATATGAGGCAGTGAGGAGCAGATTATCACAGAATTGGTTCAGAAATATGATATTAAAAGCAATGTTTTGAAGACAACTGACAGAAACCAGATTGCATCTGTCAAAGCCAAAAAGCAAGATGATTTTTAAGGTTTTGTGGCAATTACAAAATTCTCTCTCTATATATAAACTTCAGAGTGGCTGAAACTTCCTTTCCTACGGCAAATACGGTTTCCTCCAATCCTAAGGTCTAGCCAGACAGTTTCTCCCCTTGAATCCCCATTACTCTATATTGTTTTGTTCTGCTCATTTCCAATTTACCTCTTGTCATAGTTTTTTTGTTTCTTTGCTTGCTTATTTTCACTTAATTTCTCTCTTTTTGTTTTCCCTTTTCTTTTATTCTTTGATCTACAGTCTTCTCCCATGATTTTAGATTCCACGCCTCTTACACTCTCAGTTTGTTGTCACTGTCTACCGAAAGCTCTACTGTAACACATCTTTTCCCACAAATCTTCTCCAGTCTCTTAAAATACTGAAAACATTTTTCTGTCTGAATCTCTGCATCTCTTAATGTCACCTTTCTCTTCCTGTATTAGACTGTAATTTGCCTTTTCTTACACAGTCTTCATCACAAACTTACACCAAAGCACTAGTTCAAGAAATTCACAGGCATGAAATACTACTTTAACCCTCAGAAATCTGACCTAGCCTTATCTATCAGCTTCAGTGGCACAATCCCTTAGGATTTTTTATCCTTTATATTATAGCAAAAAATCTCTCTCTAAGGATCACTATGACTTTATAATTTTTTCCTCTATACACATTTATTTTTAAATATTTATTTTGGGTTTCCATATGCAGCCTTATCCAGACTCATCATATTATTTTCTTTTTTCCTTTTCAAACTTTCCCCCCATCTGTCTTCCTTCACTTCTGTTGTCTACTCCCATTAGAGATTGGTTTTCTTTGTTGGTCAATCATATTTAAATAATCTTTAAAGTACTTATGCAGGTGAGCCCCTGTATTTAAGTTCTCTGTTGTTTTCACCTTCTTTCCATCTGCATCCTCTTCTCTGGAAAGCACTGGTTTTCCTTTTCTGCTTTTTATTCTCACACATATTGTTTGCTCTAACAAACATAATTTGTCAGGTCTATATTGCAAGGCCATCAAGACAGAGACCTTGTACTCTTGCTCTTTTAGGTCAGAAAAGAAAGAGAGCAAGAACATCTACAGTATTACATAAACAACAGCAGTAAAAATGACATTGCATTAACCTATACAGGAAATGAATACTCCTTGGTGTGTTGTACCTTCAGCCTGTAAGTAGACTTTCAGGTCCAAGAATTTGCTGCCTAGCAAGAGGATCTTTTGTGGAATAGCAGCCAAAATTAATAGATAAACATGTAAATAAAACTACTGCTTTTAATATACTTTAAGGCAACAAACAAGCACATGTGTGCCATAAAATGTATTCACAGTAAATGAATAATTTAGCAACATTTATAAGGAATACAGTGATCACCCCACATAGGAGTGTAAACAACACTTAGTTTCCCATGGTTTAAGAAGTATATCCTGAACTCACAGACACATGAATTCTTCCCTTCTGAGCAGAAAAAAAGGACATCTCTAATGAAACCTGAGATGAGTGAAAACTTAGATATCAAGCTTTATGTGGCTCTGTTTTGCTTTGTTGTGTGCAAAACATGCTTAGAATATACCTTATGCAACACATTTTATTGGCAGGGTGTACTTGAAGTTAAGTAATTACAGAGTGACTCAATTTTTCTTTAATTCAGGTTTCTCTGTGGAACCTTCAGTCTCTCATCAACGCTCTTTATTCTGTAAATCATAGTGATAGCACGTAAACTGAATTCAGATTCATTCCATCTTTGAAGTTTGGTCCCGTTCCCTAGATCTGATTTTGGTGATAAGATTTAAGCATGAGGTTTCCAACACTGACACAGGAGTTTGAATTTAGAACCCACAGTTTTACATTTCTGAAAACTGTAGAGATAGTAACTCACTGAGTAGCATAGTTCATTTGCATAAAATATTACTCTATGCTGCTTTAATACAAAACTGGTTCTATAATTCCCTTCTCAATTTGACAATTTAAGGTTCTTTTTAAAAAAGGCTGTTCTTTAATGTTGTATGTGCCTGTCCCTAGCCAAAAATAATAAATTAATACATGAGTAGTATCAGATTTCTGTATTGTCTAGAGATATTTTTTTAGGAGGATTTAGTTTTAGATGCATTCTTCTCATTGTATATGTCCTTATACCACCGTAATTTTGTGTTTAAATTTATTTCAGATTGTTTGGGTAGGAAGGACCCTCTGATCACTACAAATTAATATTGTGATATGCAGTATATCTAGAGAATTTCTAAGTTTTTAAGGTAGGGAAGAACAACGAGATTTTGACAGAAAGGTGCTTTCATTTAAAAAAAAAAAATTGAAACAGTAGTTAGTGACAGAAAAGATGCTGTAGATAAAGATTTAATTACAACCAGGATCCAGAAATACTTACAATACGAACAAGCCAAGCCAATGTAGAAGTAGATGTAGAGTAGTGGGTGTTGTAATGATAAGGTGGAGTCTGATCATCTTCCCATGTCTCATACCGTTCTGCATAGAAGACTGCTCTCTTTGGGTTCAAAGCCCCAATAGGCTGCAAAGTAATAAGAGGTCAAATATATTATCAGCTGAAGGGCAGCATGTCTGATATGTCACAGGTTAATTCTGCATTAGGATTCACTACACAGGAGACTTGCAACCAAACTTGTTCCATGCTGCAGTAACCCCTCCAGATTGCTGTAATCTTAGAATTTATTTTCAAAGACTTTGTGTACTAGAAGTCTTATGAGTTTCCTTATTTTAATTGACAAATATAAGTGATCCACATCTGCAAACTTTCAAGACCTTCTTGAAGTATATGTTGTTTCCCAATTAGTTCAGTAATGTTGTTCTGGAAATAGACTTCTAAAACTGCATTTAAAATGCATTGAGGCCAAACTAATATTTCTGTTGCTGTCATTCACCATAATCACACAGCTAATGAAAACTGACTTTTGCTCACAAAGGATACTTAGTAATGTGCAGTTCATGATGAAAAGATTTCACACAGAACTGCTGATGGTGTCTGGTGATTCTAAGCAGAAATACTTAAAAAGCATGCATAGTCCTCAGGACTGGATATACTTTCTGTCTGAACAAAGCCACGTTTTACTGAGCAAAGCAAACAAGCTTTGTACTTGAAAACAATAGAATTTGGAAATCATTCGCAAACTCCATTCTGAGCAAACTTAACAGACAATCTATACAAATTAGTTAAAAAACAAAATATGTGTAAGGCAGGAGTAGGAACTGTAGGTTTTGGTGTGGCTACTTAGGGAATACATGCATTTTATGATTTTTAACCCACTTTATCTCAGAAGTTTTTGCAAAATATACTTCTGATACACTTGTATCACTTTTATTAAGTGATACAAAAGTTACTTGTATAAAGAAAATACAGATTTAAGCTTTTGAAGTAAAATTAACCAAACACACGGAGTTTACTACTTAGAGGAGAGCACACTTCCACACCAAATAATTATATAAACTTACTATAATTTTTAGCGATTACTTGATTTGAAGTAATCAAAAGCTAAATTCGAATGGATATTATTAAGGGTATTAAAACTTGAAAAAAACATATACACAAGGAATTTGACCCTTTTCAAAATGCTAACAGGTATTCTTGCATTTTATTCCACCACATAATTTTTTCTGGTGAATTAAAATCCAAAGTAATTTGGACTGGAAATACTGGTACAAGGCCAAATCAGTGTGTTTCACTACATTACATATGTAAGTAAAAAATTTTAAAGCTACAAGTATTTTGTTTCTTCAGCACTGCAATGTTTTTTGAGATGGCTGTTAAAAAGGCTGACCTAGAACATGATGTTTTCTGATTTAACAGTTTAGATCCTGTTTTTAAATAGTAGTGTGGTGAACACTTATATTTTAAAACATTATTATTTCAGTATTTTTCACTTTAAGTAGACTGGATGCTTAATACTTCATTGTGTCGTGGAGATGCTAATATGTTTCTCAAATGTGTAAAATGCATGAGTAATCCCAAAGGATCAGTGTTATCTGGTGCAGATTGCACTGTAAGACCTCACAAAACTGTTGAAAAAGAATTATGAGCCATTCCCTAGCACTTTCCAGGCTTGTTTCCCAACTACTGGAAATAGAAAAAAATAAATATTTGCATTTTTGTTGTACTTGTTTTTGTTACACTTCCTGCCACTGTCAGGAAACACACTGGCATTATTATAGCCTTTAAGTTGCCAATATATTGAAATGATTGTTCAACAACTTCCTTGAAAGAAGGACTTATTAAAAGACATTCTTTTCCTATTACACTGACAAACTGTGCAAATCTATGTACACTTTGCTAAATTATATCAGGGCTCTGGGTTGCTTTGGGGACTGGATGGAACCTGCTGACACCACCCTCATTAAGGTACTGTGCATCCACTTCTCTGGCAGAACAAATTCCAGTCCCAACTGCATATTTCAAGAGCCAAAGCAGCAATTCACACCCTAGTCTGTTAAAAGGAAATGTTCACCCCTCTGAGAAGGAAACACCAAATAGCAGATAAATTGGCAAGATTGTATTTTTAATGGGGAAACACCCTGAGAATATTTTTAGCTCCGCTATGAAGGTGCATCTTACCCTGTGCTGCAGTGAATTTTGAGGCTACGGAAGACAGAGAAATCATCTGTCACAATATTATTGTATATATATGTTTGAAAGTGCAGTAGAAAATGAATATGGTAATTAATGCAAGATTGAAAATATGGAAAACTCCTGGCCTTTCAAAATATATTTGATGCTGATTAGAAGTCTTTCATCAAACAAGCTATGTGTTTTCTTTATTCACTGTAAATGGGCTATAGTAACAAGACCTGTGAGGCATAATTGATGCTCAAAAAATAATTACAAGATATTTTATTTTATAGACTAGCAACATCCTAATGATGCTTTAAACTATATCTTTAAATAACTTTTTTAAAAAAGTATATACACGTTTGTATTTATTTAAAAAGGTGCTTTCTCTCAAAAATTTGACAATGATTTTCAAAGTCACATAAAATATCAATGCAAACAGCATTTTGTTTTCTAGGTTCTTCAATGAGAGGTGTTATATTAATTTAAAAGTTAAAAGATATAAGGATGTATGATGATTCATTCCCATTTTCATGTAAAAATGCCTGCATAAGTAGGTAAAATAATCTACCTTCAGAAGATAGACACATGTTCAATTGTATTAAATGATAAACCTGAAAAGCTGTATTCTTCATTGTCATCAATATTCTTTTCAGAGTTAGAATCTATTTTTTCTTTAAATTATTTTATGATTCATTTGAAGAAAAATTCTGAAATGCAGAAAACATCTGCTGAATAAAATGTAGACTTTAAGTGAAATACCAATGAGGGTTCTTGCATTGTACTGAAATTTTCATGGGAAAATCTCTGGGAAGAATCTTTTTTTGGGATTACCCTTCCTTGCCCCCAGAGCAGAAGAAAGGATGGAATTAAGGAAGGAAGGAAGGAAGGAAAAGAAAAGAAAAAAAAAAGAAGAGGGTCGGAGAGGAGAGGGTCGGAGAGGGTCGGAGAAGAAAAGGGAAGGGAAGGGAAGGGAAGGGAAGGGAAGGGAAGGGAAGGGAAGGGAAGGGAAGAGAAGAGAGAAGAGAGAAGAGAGAAAAGAAAAGAAAAGAAAAGAAAAGAAAAGAAAAGAAAAGAAAAGAAAAGAAAAGAAAAGAAAAGAAAAGAAAAGAAAAGAAAAGCTGAGAGCTGCCCATGCTCACATGACTCTACAGCTTCTAGTTCAGCATTACATCAGTTATCTCTGGCCTGTGGCAAAGTAATACAAGGAACAGCTGATCCCCCTTTTCTCTACAGTCATGGAGATCCTGATGTGAACCATTTCTCTGCACATTAATGGAAAATGATAATGGAAAATGCTCAAATATCTAAAATAGCAGGGAGTAAATTCAGCAAGGTCTGCTCTGGCTTCCTCAGCATTATCTTAATGTCCAAGTGGCAAAATGCTGTTACCCAAAGTAACAGTAACAGTTCATCCCTCAGTGGATTTACTGTAAAGATTTTAAATCTCAGTTGTACAAACTAGCAACTAAACCAGTTTTACTCTGACAAGGCATGTGTCCTGCTAGACGACAAGTTCTACAGTAATGGTAGTCTCTCACATTTCCTGTGAAATGTGTAGGGTATATAGAGTTTTGGTTACTTTTCCACAGCTTTACTATGCCTTTCTCAGCCCAGAAAGTCAACTACCTTGCTTTTAATCTAATACTATGGCTATAAAATGAAGATAAATTTTGTTTATGGATCAATCCCTCTATGTTCATATAATGGAAGAAAATAATTTTATTTCCATTTCTCTGAAATTCTGCTGCTGTGTGCACTGATTAAAATGACTTGCACAAACAACACAAAGGCAAAGCTCAATCCATATACTGTGTCTCAGTCCATATCTTAACCATAAGACAGATACAGAAACTGAATTTGAGTCAAATAAATTATTCCGAACATCAAATAAAAAATTCTTTCCATAATGTTTCATAAAATGCTTTTTCAAAACACACCATTTGCCTTTTTATTACAAAACCCCCTCTGTAAGGACTTAATATCAAATAGTATTAACTTTCCATAAAATGGTTTTATAGGATATTCTTTACTCCAAACAGATAAAACAACTCACTCTATGACAATGCTTATTCATCCACTTCACTTCTGGTGTACTAAAAGCTTCTGTTTGAGTTTATTTTAGATTTCTTTCTTCCTTTCAAAAATAAAGTAAGTATTTACTTTAACATTAAAAACACATTTCTATTAATGTAATTCTTTTTTTACCTGGCTAATCTCTAGACATCTGGCCTTTGACCAAGAGTATTGTCAATACATCTAGTGTTTATATCCACTGGACATGTTATGTTAGCTCATGTAATATTTACTGCTTTGCCAGCTATCTTCATAGAACTACATTCTCTCATGAAAGCAGAACTGAACGTAGCATCCTGTTTATCTAGCCACTGAAATAGTCTGCTTATCTTGACTCTAATTCTTGCAGCAGCTACTTTATCTGTTTATCTTTTTTTTTTTTTCTGTAATATACTGCACAAAATTTTAGGTGACTATAAAAGAATTATTGAACGTGGCTTTATTTGGCTCCGGCTGAAAACTGACTGAGCTTTTCCTGACTGCTTGCTTTTTAATTAAAAAACATCTGCTGAACAACAACCTATAAGTAGGGCATCTTAGGACGGTACTTGAAACTTAAAAATAAATCGTAATTTCATCCAAATTTATAAACAGCTTTTCTTCAGTGTACTGATATTAAAAGCAGATATCAATAATATCAGAGTTCTCGCAGATTCAAACTACTGAAGTTTCACACAGTAAATGAACTTCTTATTTAAGAAAATTGTGTTCAATTGTGTGGCTTAAAATAAAAGAGAATTAAACTAGTTTTTCTTTTGATGTATGAGGTAAAGATAGAAGTTTAAGTTACAGAAGCCGATTTCATTTTTCCAGCAAGTGGCTCTTAATAAGCCCATAAACTCCATTCCACAGCATATACATTTTTGGAAGTATTAAGTGTGGTTGCCTTGAAATACTCACACTTGGATGTGTTCATTTGCATTATTACATTTAGAAGCCTTGGGGCGTTATCACTTCCTTTTCTTGAAATGGCACAGTAATAAGGAAAAGTGGTTATGCTTATCACCACCCATCAGTCAAACGCCTTCTATATTAACAAAACATAATTCTTTCCACTCTGTGAATGGGCGTGTGATGTTTCATACACATGTCAATATTAGTATTACTTTGCCTGGTGAAGAAATCATTTTATTTAACAGGATGTATGACTGGAAGTAAATGAGGAGAAATTCCCGTTTACACTTTAATGAGCAGGGACAATGCAGCATGTCAAAACCATGCGTTCACTATAATTTAGGAGGAAAAGTAATACAATTTTATATAAAAAAACCATACCACATTTTAAGTGTGTTGAACCCCACAAAAAATCAGTGTACTGTAAGGGCTGCATACATGTTTACTGGACTAATGATTGATATCCTAGGTATTCTTCCAAAAGAAATCTCAACAAAGAAGAAAATAAGCAGATCACCTGGTGGCTTGATAGTGAAAAGATAATCTATATATCTATGACAGTCTCTTTCATTAGTTTTTGATCCTGTCAAACAATAAATATAACCTTTAGCCTAATGTATGTAATGAATAAAACTTGAACCTACACTGTCTAATCAAATGAGAGGTCCAATACATTTCACTGCTGTGGCACCTTCTGTGGCCACGGACCCTGGTTTTAAACCTAAAACTATCTGTGTAAAAGGAAAAAAAAAAGCCTTGATAAAGGAATTTTCAAACACTTCAAAGAAAAAGGCAGAGGAATTTTTAGACTAATATTTAAAAGTAATTTTTCTGAGAGAACAAGCAACATCTGGATGTAAAAATACCACAAAAAGGAGCACTACATTAAACCAGAATAAAATGGCATGGAAGGAAAGGACAAGTTACATGTTCAAGATGGCTTTGCAGAAATGTAAATATTTAAGTTTGAGCTAAATGAAAAAAGCATATGTTTTACTCTGTTACTGAGATCGTAAGCAAGCCAAACACATCTAATTTCATCTCCAAGAAACATATAAATTGCATTTGACTTGTATGGTCACTTATGAGTTGTGATATCCCAAAGGTAATGTGTCATATTTTATAGAGAAAGCCTAGGAATCAAAGATTAAAAAAATTTAAAAGCATTGCTGTCAATTATCAGAACTGACATTGGAGCTTTGTATGAAATTTGAGCGATAATACACAAATTAATTATTTTTAGAAGTTAGATTTAGCATCTACATTGAACTACAAAAAGTACTTTAAACCAAGGAAACAAAGCATGATAAGTGATTTCTCTTTTAATTTAATTCCTTTTGTGGGCTTTTACCACATATGCAATAGTGTTAGAATTCTAAATAATTTCAGAAGATGGTTTGAGGAGAATTAATTACTAAAAATCAACAACCGAGGCGTTGTGAAACTAAGAAGGGCAAATTTGCAGGGAGACAGGAGGTTAGGAACTGACAAAGGAGATTTTATCCATCAACAATTTAGCTGGAGGTTTGGATTTGCCATCAAACCTGCAGAAACATTTCCCTATGGCAGGGTAAAATCTGACAGAAGGAAGTGGCTCCTCATGGAAAGGATACTGTGTGTGCCTGCCCCCGAGGTCTGGCTGAGGCTTGATAGCACACCCTGGTTCAATAATGTGAGCAATAAATCACTAACTCTTGCATTTAAGCACCAGGCTACTCAGGATTCACCTCCCTAACAAGAAAAGAAAGGGCTCACTTACAGTTACAGGACAATATTGAAAATTAAAACAGAATTGCCAGGGAAATACTTCAGATATGTTCTGATTTTGAATATTTTTACTGATAATGCAAAAATTGAAACAGGACGCAAGTAATGCATAACAGCCCAAGTGAACAAAGTAAGGCATTTCATACTAATTGGTCACTGCATTTAAAAATAAATCATTGATCTATTTTTCCTTTTAAAACTATGGTGAAATGAAATCTATCAGGTGTTACCATAATGAATACTGGAAAAAACAGACAATTACAACTCTTTTATCCTGAGGGATTTCACATGGGTTTTCTCACACATCCAGGGGATAAATGCAGCACAAATATTGCCAGAAAGGAAAGAATATTCTCCTATACTAGTTCTGTGCAGGACTGTTTTCAGTGGTCAAAAATCTATCTTTTTCAGAGGAAACCACTGATAACTTTTGGTAAGAGAATGCAGTTATCAAATTGGGCAAGGAAAGGGGCACATTGCATGGATTCTTGATGAAAAGTAAATAGCCATGGACTCGATTTTACATTTTCTTTCAAGGACAGCACTAACGAAAGTGCAGTGATACTTAATAAGCTATACAAGCACTAATTCCATAATGAGTCTTTACTAACTCATGAGGAAAATCTATTTATTCACCTATCACACTACTTCCTGTGGCAATTATATACTATAGTAGACTGCCATAAAAATTTGGATTCAACCAAAACTAAGCACCTAATGAAGCACTTAAGAGACACTGTGTAATCTTATTGCACTTCACCACACACAGTGCTATTAATACTTGCAAGTGAGTTTGAGAGATTTTGGAAAGTGCAAGCACCTTAATGAAAGGTTTATCACTGAACAACTCTAAACCAGCAATACTTTGATACACGCTAGGGAACAAGCCAGTGTAAAATAATCACAGGTGTTTATTTAAGTCATGTCTGTGGATCTTTTACTGTTCTTGGCACAGATTAAAATAGTGTTACAGAATTGAAACACACATTTGTGAAACATACCTAATATAGTGAAAGGTCAGAACTTTTACAAAACCTAAGGAAATTATCAGCCTATTTGTTTCTATCTGAGGCATACTGTGCATGTAGTGTAAATTCTGGGTTTATTTACCTACTTATTTATTTGTCTAAGAAAAACGGGAGAAGAAACTTAGGTGTCTTTATCTGCTATTATTCATTCAAGTCCTACTCAAATTATTTTGGATGCCTCACAAAGCAGGCTTCTGCAAATAGTTACAATACATGTGGAGGTACTGCAAGCATACTCTTTCTGACAGGGATGAGACTGTGACATATCCAGGACAGGATGTCTTCATTGCTCCCCAGGATGTGAGCTTTCAGGGAGAGGTGGAAAGAAATCCAGACTTAAAGCAGAAGCCCCAGAAACATTAATGACTGACCAGTAGCAGAAGGGAAAGCATGGGCTGCAGCACAGGACTGCAGAACAGGCCTTGGGAGTCATTTTCTTGTCTCCAGTCTCACTCCTTAAGTCAGTGAGTCACAGCTTCCTGTGGTTTTGAGCCTCACTCAACTTGTACAAGGAACTTCTCCCTCCTGGCTGAGGAGCTGTGGCAAAAAAGCTCTCAAAAAGCAGAAACCTCACACTGGGGATTTTGAAGGACTACCCACCTTCACTGTTAAGAGCGCATACACTTAATTGATAGGAACCAGGAATGATACTTCCCACAGCTTAGTTTTAAGTCCTGTTTTTTGTCTTTATTTTAGCTGGCCAAAAGTAGAGCCCCTCTATAGGTTTCTGCTATGCTTGGCCAGGACAGAACTTCTCTTCAGTCTGTTGACACAACCAGAGTACAAAAGTGGGGTATAGACGACAATGTGATCCTATTAGAGAAACAAATACTAGACACTTTATCATTATAAAGCACTAAAATCTGGTTGGAGGCAAAAAGCCCAACAAATAAAAATAGGGACCAGATACTCCAGGATCTAAAATACAAAATACTTGTTTACTAAAAAATTATTAAACCAAAAGGAAGTGCTGCTATTATATTAGTATTCTAGTCACTGCAAAATAAAGTGAAATATTAGTTTAAGCTTTTTATTTCCAAAGGATTAGCTTTTATAAACTAGGGGAGATAATTAGTGAGATCGAGTGGTCTGATGCAATCACATTCCACAAATCAGAAGGTACAGAGGAGTACCTGGATTTGGAACCAGTGAAGTCAGGGACATGGAAGTACCATAATGCAGAGATTCACTACAAAATCATTCTAAAATGGAAAAGTCTATTTCAGACTTTTATGAGTTTAAGACCTTACTCAACCAGACTATAAACATAAAACAAAATCTCTTCCTAAAAGGACTGGCTGACTGTTCTTTGACAAAATTGAAGCATACCTTTGAAAGATCTCTGAAGTTGCCTGGAAGGGTCAGGTCTAACTCTTCTGATTCATAGTTTGTTAAAACCCAAGGAAATACAGGATATTGGTTCAGATCATTGTATGTTCGTCCTATTAAAAAGAAAGTTTTAAGAGTTAGGAAACAGCGTTCACTTCTCCAGCTGAAAAACAATCTAGCGGTTACATTTGTTGCATCACATGTCCCAGTTCCCACCACTTGACAGAATCAGGTATAAATCTTCCAGACAAAAGCAGCCATTTAGATGTACTTATGTTGAATCAGAAGTCAACGCAGAAATCAACATAATATAAAGAGCACAGTGTCTGTCAAGATCAGCTAAAACACATCATATCTCAATAAACGTTTTCTTTTTATATTTCCATTAAGATATTTTTATAGCATGACTGTAGAAATTTAAAAGAACTAGACTATTATTTTCCTAGCAACTTTATGCAGTATCATAGCTGGCAAAGATTAAATGAGACTCCAAACAGCAAGGGATTAAATCTGAGGTTTGCAAATCTAGGTCTATCCTAGATAGTCCATATTAATCCATTATTCCCTGTGGCTCTTCTTCACTGAAGAAGTGGTGAGATTCCACTTTTACTGTGGAATCAAAGTGGTGAAAGCCATGTTTGCTTTAACACTATTTTGTAATCACTTTGAAAATAAAAAACATTTCTCCTCCCTAAAAGACAGAGCTGACTGCCCCAGGCCACTCTCTTCAATCATGAAGGAAGCCCTGCTATCATCCCAGCAGCTCAAATGTGCAAAAACCAGCTTTAGATATCATTTCAAAAGAACAACCTGCAACTGCAATAAACTGAAAAATATGAATTTGTCACTAAGAAAAATGTGTTGGGAAAGGCAGCTATTTCTGTGTTCTCTGATATTTAGTAGACTCTAACATTTTACTGATAAGACAAATGAAATTTCTTAGTACAGAACCATTCACCCTATGAAAATGGTGAGAACCACACAATATGCAACATGAGTCTTAAAAAGCAAAATCCAGTCATAAATATATATATGTGTGTGTGTGTGTGTGTGTGTTTATGTAATTAGCAGACTGAAATAATCCAGGTTAACAATTCCCAGTCCTGCAGCAGATTTACAGCCCTGTTTTACTAACTGCTTCCTTGCAGATTCTGGACAGATTCCTGGGGTACAAAACCCAGCACAGGAAAACACAGGCTTCCTTGTTCTGAGTTGCAGTTGCAATTCTCCACAAAAATCATTTCTGCTTTAATGAAATGTGAAACTTTCACTGCTCTACAAACCCCTTATTTTTTCAATAGAAGTTGCTGAACAAAAAGCATGTTTCTATTTTGTACATAGTTTCACTGAATACAGGAAAAATGCATATTGTTAATAACTGTGTGTCCTCATTTTTACACTTTGAACACATAGATGTTCACAAGAATATAAAAAAAAAATGAGGTGCAAATACAACTTTGATACAAATGCAGTGCCAGCACTGTGCACTACACACACAAAGATGGATAGAAACAAAACCACTTCTTTAATAACTACAATGAATGAATGAATGCAAAATTACTCTTGGACAGAACAAGAATGTATCCACCAACTAAATCAAGAAATATACCAGAATGTATCCATATAAGGGTGGAAAAGGAATGGTATTCTCTGGTAGAATATTAATTCTTTTAGATTTTTGGGAGGGGGCTCTACATGTCTTGAAGAAAGACAACTCTGCCTCATTTTCCACATACATCAAGTCAGAATATTATTTTCCCCTTTGGCAAGGGTTTAATTACAAATGTCTTGTAAAGTTTCTTGAGATTATCAAAGTTAGAGTTCTATAAAATACGGCCTCTATAGAACTATAGCTTCATACATAAGAGTTTTTCTCACCATCAGAATCCTTAATTAACAGAGGAGTGTGCAAAAGTTTCCACAATAGAAAGACATTTGTGTTTATGTAGACAGCAGACTAAAAGAAATTCGAGATCTAGGAAGAGAATGACTGAGAGGACTGTAGTCTATTACAAAGCATAAGCAAAAACAAAGATTCTTCAGAATCAAAACTTTGATGGAAAAGAGTTCAGAGTAGCAAAGATCTTCAACTGTAACCACTTTATAGAAACATTTGAAAAGGTGAGAACATCCTTTTGCAAAATTTTGAAAGGAAATGTAGGGTTATCCAAAATTAATTTTAATTTCAAAATTGAGATTTTTTCATATTGTGATTTTATTTAATTTTGATACTTAATTCATTTACTTCATATCAATTTAATTTCAATATTCAACCAAAAGATTTTGACTTTTTGTTTCCATTCCATATGGGAAAATCATAAATCTGTGAATAGGTCAAGAAAAAAAGCAATCCTGAGCCTAGCTGCTGTATGAGCTCTTCTTTGCTGAGTGGTTACTTATAGTATAGACACATGAAGAAATTATCATGTGACATTAGCTCCATGTCAGAACAATGCAGTAACTCCTGTGTGCATTTTTTTACCCCACAATGAGAAATAATTTGAAGCGGCTTATCTCTCAGCTTAGGTAAGATAAGTGGCAAACAATGGAGCCTTTGTGATTATGTATTTGATAAATATAAGCATAGTCTTGTGAAAAAATAAACAAAATATTTTCTTCTCTCCTACTTCAATATTTATAAAACATGTTTTATTTATGAAGAGATTAACTACTAAGAGTAGCTATTAATTTGTTTAATAAAAAAGTTAGTGATTTATTTTTATTAATACGACAATTTTTTTCTTAATATTAACAAATAAAATGGACTCAAGAACATGAACCATAAATTAAATTGTGAGAGGACACCAAACCTACATGGTAAGTTATGACCATACATCTATACTTATCTGAGTGGAGGACAGTGATCTAGGCCTATAATGGATTACAAGTCCATAGTTCTAAACATGCATAAATATCAGTGGTTTCAGTTTATTAGGAATGCTGTCTTGATTGATTCTGGCTTCACAATTAATGATTTTCAGAATAAAGTCAGCAGATGAATATACTTAGCCATCTCATCAATTGTCTGGTTCTTCCAGCAAGAATTATTTGGTTCTTTCTTTAGCTAAATAAATATAAAACATAAAACCTGTACCACTATCGGTAGGCTCTATACCTTTTCAGAAGCTTCAGATTTTCCTCAAGTAGGTTTACAGAGATTAATATTAAAGGCCGAATATTAAATATCGCAAGCCTGTGACACTAATCTATTTGAACAATAAAAATGAGGCATAGTAAATGAGATCTCAGAAATACTGGATATGTTTCTTCATAAAAAAAAAAAAAACAAAACCACAAAAGTTTTTAATTAAACCATCCAATTTAATGTTTTTATATGGCACTTTAGTTTTGAAGGTAAAGTGAGCTAGAGACAGCTGACAAAGAAATTATAACTGCAATTCCTTGGTGAAAATGTTAATGACAGCAAAATATTGTTTAATTAGATGATTGCAGCATCTGGATTAACACTCTTTAAGAGCGATGTTCCTGTGCTTGTCTGCTTCTTCACACTTTACAGACATTTTGTCATCTCTAGGTCATTAGGAAAGAATTTTTAATGATTTTTCTAGAAGCAAGTAGTTCAAGTTACATCTAATTAGATTGCAATAATAAGCCCAACACATGCAGTAGCTAAATATATACATAATTAACCAGTGAGGGCTTGTACATCACAGAGTAAAAAAGTGGAAAAAGCTAAACAGGCGAAAAAAAAGGGGGGGGAGGGGGAAGAAGTTCATCTGAATTTATTACCTAACTGAAGATGTCATTTTTTTCCACAAACCTTTAAAAATAATGCCCTTTCCACTAAAAGAAATTGCTCACAAGAATTATGGATGTAATTATTCTCCATTTCTTTTAAAAGCTGCGGCATGTAGGATTTAAAAGACTTAAAATTCAAATAAATACAAATGCAATCACATATTTAATATACTACAATTTGAAAAGAAAAACTCAGCAGAAATCAGTTAAATACTGAGAAATAGACTTGAAAACTAGACTTCTAACTAAAAGAATGAGCACTGCAACCATATTACAAAACGACTTCTTGTTCCCACTATTCTTGATCCCTTTGCAGTGGTGGGATTACTTCTAAGTGCTCTTTTCAATAAGTAATCTTTTCAATAACCTTGTAACTGAGAATAGTAACAATTACTTGTTTCCTAAATCACCCAGAGGGTTCAGTCGACACATATGCTGGTTCCATGCAGAAAGGACAATTAGCATAATCATAGCTGCTTCCAAGCCTTCAAAGCAAAAGGATCCCTGAGAAAGAAATACATAGGAGGAGGGGGAAGGTGGCCAGGAAGGCTTGTCTACACAATCAGGACAAAAACCAGGGGTAACATTGAGACTGACTGATAAGCAGCAGAGTGCAGTGTTTACCTTTGGGAGGAAAACCCTGAGCTGTAAACATGATGAAATATGCTTGAGCCAGAAAAGAGGGCAAGAAAGAGGTGAAGAGCCTGGAAACAGAATAGGTGGTAAGAAAATAGAAACTAGAGGGCCAGAGAAACAGGTTGAAACAAGACTTTACAGAGTTTTGAAGATGGAGAGCGATTTTGAACTGAAATCGCAATGAGGCATCAGGCCAACGCAAGTGAAAACAATCATATATACTTGGATAGGAAATAAACTAGAAAGAGAGATCTTTGAGAGCTGAAGTAGACAGTTATTAAGTCATGAGTACAGATCACAGCAGAAACAGTTAAACTAAAAATGAAGTGTGGAAACATTTCAGAGGCTGATGTAAAGATTAAAACAAAAGTCATAGAAAGATGGATTTTTTCCAAAGGGACACTTTGGTATTTCAAACATGAAGAACATATAGGATAGCCAGGAGCCATTCTTGTCAGGATAAACATACTAGCAAAACAGGGAGAGATTTAAGAAGAGATTCATATATTTATTTCAGTGGTTCTGTTGTTCAGAGTCCAATCAGTCTATGTAATTAACAGTATTAACGAGCAGGCAAAAGACTTCTTGTGGGAAAGAACCCACCTGCATGATGCCATAAATGAAAGAAATGAGCTGGTGTCAGAACCCTCACTTCTGAATGTCTCTCTTCAAAGGCTACTGGTTCTTGAGTAATTTCAGAAAAGGATCACAAGAAAATGGGAGTCCTTTCATACCGTTTTGTAAGAACTAAATACTAAATAAACACCATTGTAAAAAAAAAAGGAAACTACAAAGAATTAGCAAAAGATGCACTAAACCACCCTGTTAATGGACTTCTACTTAGATGAGAAGGAAAAACAGTGAAGTGACCTTACTTATCATCTACTTACCAGTAGATAATCCACATTTTTTTGAAGTGTCAAACCTCCATATTTCTGACTAAGCTACAGCTCAGATATGCTGAATAAGCCAGTAGGAGTTAAATGGCGACATGAATAAAAAAAATTTGATGCATATATTTCTCAATAGCTAAGAACAATAATATTGTTAGAGAATAAGATGCTGCTTAAATAAACAGTTATATTCCGAAACTAGGTCATCACTGCCTACATGAACAATTACTGGCAAAGAAGTTGCAATTTTTAAGAAAATATTTCTTATGGAATCTCATTACAAAAGAGTATAATTAAAAATGTATTTGGAAATTGGATTTCCAAGAAGACAAAAAAGAAAATACATGTCTTCACTTAGGAAAGGAGGTCACAAGCATACTCAGTATTCTATCTTTGCGCACAAAGTAGAAATTCCTGTATTTTCTTCTGTCTGCTGAGGGTCCTGTGTACAGTGCATATAAGAATTTGTGCCTGTTTAATATAGATGTGTGTGGATAGTTAGCAAAACAGTGTATATAACTCTTATCAAAACTAGGGCAACAAGTACTAGAGGTACTTTGCTTCCAGTACTGTATTTATGGTAGAGTTATTAGTTTTTCTAGTGCTTCATCAGAAAACACCTATTTCTTGTAAAGGGAATATTTTTGAGGAATGCTTTTCAACAGAAGACTTACAGAAAATACAGGCACAGCTGTAAAAGCAGCAGTGTCATTCAGGCTGCCTGCAGTTTCCCAGATCTCAGGCTGTGGCGGTACCATGCCATGCAATAGTGGAGCAATCAGCTTGGGGATGTGAGAACTTCTAGGCTGTCTAACATATATTTAGGTTTTGAAGCTTTCTCCCCTGTGATTGGACTTGGAGCTCAGGTGCACTCCATTGTGGGTGGGCTTCTGGTTTGCCAGGAACTTTATGATGAGATTCTTTGCAATGCCCCCAAGTTCTTAATGAGTTTTTGCAAGTCAGCTACCCAGATGAAGTACAGACTTCACTAGAATACAAAACCAGATTGATCTTCCAAAAAATAACTTGAGGGGATTTTTGCTTCTGTCAAAAAGTTAGACAACTTCAGGGTTTGTTCCAAACTGCAATAAGAAGTTTATTGTCATGTCTAGAATTGCCTGTTGGGTTTCAGTCAGTTTTGTGTGTGTCATTGGCAAGGGAGTTCAGCTATCAAGGATAAATCTGATTATAATTTAAAAAAAAAAATCACGCACTGCTGAAAGATTTTATAAGATGGTAGGTAACGCTGTGAAATGAGCAATAGAGCTTATACAGTTAACTATGAGATTATATGAACCTGTGAGATTTACCAGTAAAAGACTAATACACATAAATTTGCTAGAAGTTAAATGCTTTGAGTCAGAGAGAGACACTCGAAAGGTAGTGACCAATCTACTTTTCCAAATACAACACAAACTCATGAATACACACCAAAAATAACAAATAGTCAGTAATCCTTCAAACTTCAGCCATAGCAGGTGGTACCTAGAATGGTAATGTCAAGCCATCCTGTTGTAAGGCAGATGAATGCTACCAGATGACTTAAGAGAAACCTGTTTTGTGCAACCACCCAAAGTGTTTGGCTATAAAACATGCCCAGCAGTATTAGTATTAAACAAAAGGTCAAAAAATATTTCTTTTGAGACCTCTGAGATACTCTGAAGGAATCTCTCCAGGCTGAACTTTGTTTACTGATGAATACTTTAGTGTAAGTGTCACTGCAATTCCTAATTGACTTCAGACATAATGGTGTCTTCCAGGTTTGGATGCTTTGGTGATGTACCTAAAAGTAAATGACCTTGGAATTTTAAACTGATTAAAAAGGAAAAATAATTTTTAAAAAAATTGGCTCAGGTCTTGTGTACTCTCATTTAAAGAGTTTAGTCTCACTGCTTACGGAAGAAAAGAATACATAAAAAGCAAATTACAAGCAAAGGACTTTTCTGTCAGTATTGTATTCAACAAGGACTGAGGGGACCTAGGCTACCTTCCTAGCTCTCCAGAAAAATCCTCCAAGTCTGGGTGAGGCAGTCAGAGAGCCTCCAAGGCTCTGCCTATAATTCCTCATCACCAGAAGGGCAGCTGATGTTAAAGAGCCATGAAGCAGCTGGAGATGGGCCAGTGTCCAGAATCAGGATAGCAGCATTCACATGGCACTGTGCCAGAGGCAATAAATGCTCAGCAAGGCTCCTTCCTCCAGCAGAGAACTGCGGAACTGTGGCTATAATGCTTGGGAACCAAGCTGGTGAGCCTTCATTGGACTTCACCATATGGACTTTCCAACCCAGATGTCCAGTAGTTTCAGGGACTCCGCTTTTTGCTTCACTGCATAAGGTACACATGCCCTCAGATTTCCAACTGTTCAGTAGTAGCACTTCTGTACCACATTGGGATAATTTGATGACACATTTATTAATATCCATAAGACTGGACATATGGAAGATAACTACCATATATGCACAGCAGCAAAAGCCTAAAGGTTCAAAGCAAGCAAATTTGACAGCTCCTGAATTCTGCCACTGCCCTACTGGACAGAATGCAGTGACTGTCCTCAGACTGGTCAGTGCAATGAGTGCTACTTTTAGGTTTCACACTGACATGTATCTTATATCTGGCCTGAGGATAACCTTGAGCATAAAAGTCAAGACCAAGTAAAGATGAGAGTTGTAACACTGGAGTACAAAGTGATGGCCGGTGGAGATTAATTTGGGTTTCAAATTAAAGCTCACTGAAGTGAAATGTCTGAGGAAGGCTCTCCGTGGGCAGGTTTATAAGCAGCATGTGTGCTACAGGCAGGAATCATAATAGTAGACAACCTCCTGGAAATTTTTGTATATGGTCTAAAAAACATTTTTACATTTAAAATTACCATAGGAGAGAATACATAGAAAAGGGAAAGGTGAAAGGAATAATATCATTGTGAATGTTTAATTAATGACAATTGCCAGAAAAGCTCTTCTTTTGCCAATAACAAATGGATGTCTATGGCAGTTATTTCTCATTTTAAATACCTAATCTGATATTATACTTCAGCTCAAAGAACTAAATGAGAAAAGATGCTGTAATCTAATCATACCACAATCCAGGTGACATCTGTACCAGGCAGAATACTGTTGTTATTCTGCTGTCTAGTTGCTGTTGCTGAGAATGATGAAGTAGTGAAATTACATTTTCCCATTATTATTTCCAGACACTCTCTGGCAATGGTTTGTTGACTCTAATAAAGCTTCAGACAAAACTGTCAGCAGAGGAAATGGCAGAAGGGGAGCAAGGCACAGCCTCCACAGCAACACATGAATCTAAAGTCTCAGTGATAGGTTGTGCATTTTCTGATAAAATGTGTTTCCAAATCTATCACAAAGCTGCAGCTGAATTCTAGAGGGATAAATGTATTCTATCAAGTCACGGTGCTTAAAACTTTGGCAAACAAACATAGTATGAGGGATTAAATCATCAGAAGCCTTACCTGCTATAGTATTGAGGAACATCAAGTATTCGAAGTTAGATATCTCCCGTCTCTGCCAGCGCTGAGTCATGTTGGAGGATTTATAAAGCTGTCGGGGTGTGGCTAGAGAGATTCTCCTAGGAAATACATTTAAAGAATTATTTTTTTAAGAGTCATCTTAAATGTTAAGATGTAGGGCAACATAATTAGTGTGATTAATTTCAGATTCTCTCAGAGGCTTTTTTATGTCAAGAAGACACTATTACCTTATTTGAGAAATGGATAAAATTAAGAACTATATTTTATTTTACCACTACTACAGCATTGTAATAAATCAGAATAATATGTTGTGTTTTATTTTGTTCTGAATCTGGTTAAAAGACCGGGAGTAAAAGAACTGCAGACCTCCTGGTGCCTGGCTTGTCTAGCAGGAAGAAAAGAGGAATACTAATTTCCTGTTTCAAAGGTATATATTGAGATAAGTTCATTAAGGTGAGTGAGTGATAGATTAAAGTGACATATATTTCCATCGCATGGGTTGAAGATATTTATTATACAATTTGTGCACCTCTTCTCTGGTCAGCTATCCATGATCCTTTCCTATATCCCAGTAAGCTTCAAGACTTCTATTTATAGCCTGGTTTCTGAAAGAAACAGGGTTTACTCAGTTATCTGCTCACCTGTTCATCTATCTCTCCATAATGACTTCTGAATTGTATTTAATTCAAATTAGGAAGAGGAGCAGAAGCTTTTAAGATAATTTCCACACATTTTCTAAAACTTACATGACTGGATAAGGGAGAGAGAATGCCAAAACTACATGCCAAAGAGAAGAAAAGCAGAAAACTTCAGCTCTTCTTCATTGAATTTGTCAACATCACAATAACCAAATACTGACACCAAGTTCTAAATTACCCACTGTATATACTATCCCTGGTTGGTAAAATATAGGGGACTACAGTCAGTCTAGACTAATGTATTAAAGAAAACAAACTGTAAAAAGTAGAAACAGGCTCATTGCTCTCAACTAATTTCTAGAGAAAATAGTTCTTGCCTAAAAAAAAAGACAAGCAAAATCTTTGGAAGGAGAAAATATTCATCTCCTCAGATATATTTTTTTACAGAAATTTAGATCTTATAAGTGCATCAAAATAAGGAAATCGTTTATAACTGCTAAAAACAACAACAACAAAGAGGGTTTCCAACGTGTAGTCTGAATTTATTGAATTTAAAGAATGTATCTAGTAGTATTTCTATAGCTTGTCAAGAGTAAACAGGGACACTCAATGCTTCAGCTTTTAGTTGCACACTAAGCACACTAACTGTACTTTTTCTAGACTCTGAATGCTGAGTATTTTCTTAAAGTTATATGCAAATTGTCAAATTGGGCAGTGTTTACAAAAATGTGAACCATCTACTTCTAAAGATACATGTACATACTTCTATATATGCACTAAACTCTACTTTCAGAGAAATGATGAGCATTGGTATGGGATTGGCGTGTACAGGCACAATTTTGTGTCTAAATTGCAAGTGGGCATGTTGTCAATGTCTGCCACACTTCATGTTACAAATAGGGCATACAGAAATGACCATGCAAGTGTATTTACCCAAATAGCAGGACATAGGGTATTGCCACATTGACTAGCCTTATTTTACAGTAGACTCTAGGATGCCAAAGGTAAATGCACTTTACTATAGGAGGCAATACAAAATGTTTTAAAGTTATTTTTATTACACTTCTTATGAAACAAGTATCTAAAGAAATATTGGAATGTAATCATATTTTATATTGCATTTTATAGATTAACAATTAGTTTTACAGTGGAACTCTCAGACACATTGTTCCCAGAAAATTTTGACTAACACTACACACAAATTAGTCAACACAGAAAATAAAAATACTAAGGAGATCATTAAATTTACAAAGCATTTCTGTCACCAACTTTGTGCTCCACCCATGACAAAATATTTATGCATCAGTACAGCTTAGTAGCTGCTTTTAGACTTTATTCACAATCTTCTAGGGAGTCTCAAAAATCTAAAAACTGTCAAGTGCTGGACTTCGCATTTGAATACCTGATTTGAGCAAACTCTACAGAAAATCAAAATATACTAAAAAACATCCTTATTTACTCCATATCTAAGGTGTTTGCAAGATTCACAGTTATTTCAGCAAAGATTGGAAAAAATTATGCACAATAAATTGGTTCCATGCCTGCTTGTTTCAGCTAACACAGGAAGACCCACTGTTTTCTGTTTTGCTAAATCCACCCAACTTTGATCAAACTATTTCTCTATTCAATATGCCATCACCAATATGAAGACGCAGAAATGAATGTGCTTCCTTTGCTTCTAGAGAACCATGAAACATCTACTCAAAATGGAAACTGCAGAAGACTCTGAAGTACAATGGAATGATCCAATTTTTCAAGTTTTATATGTTTAAATGTGTTTAGAAAACACTTCATGCCATTTTGTTGAGGGATAGGATGTTATATATCCCATATGTGGAGTATAACACAACTCCTTTCAGAGTCACTTTTAATTTAGTAAGCTGATATTGAATATAGTTATGGTAACCGTCAAAATACATTTTTTTGCAGCAAAAAGTTCATAATTTGAATTTCCTAGCTTTAATAACTGGAGCTATGGTTTTCTCTAATGCATTAACAGCCCACAGAATTTCAGTGGAAGGTGCCAGCATATGTTTAGTGGTGAAGTAAGATACTGTATCTTTTACCAATTCTTTGATCTCTGTACACTTACAAAACCGTCAGGCAGCTCACAGTTGGTTTCTAAGCTTGGTGTTATCCTTATAAAAAAAGGCATCAGTAAATTGCACCTGAGGTGTTAAAACCCTCAAAAGTAGTCTGATAACAGCATGGTAAAAATGTGGATATTACCCTACCTACGTAGAATCATATGGACCTGCAGAAGTAAGTTAAAAGGCACAGCACTGTCTGCCCAGTTGTATCATTTGTCAAAGTCATAAGGAAACTACAATCAGTGCAATGTGTTTCAGGAACACTGAAAATGCATTTATCAAAGACAGACTAATTTGATTACCAAATCAGACTGAATCCTTCAACATGTGACTGATTTTAAGGATGTAATTACTTCTTTGTAACATTAGGCACAGGCTTGAACAGTTTGTTGAACCAAAGCATTAGACAGGCTGCTGGAAAAGGTAGCAAAGTGGCAAAGTGGAGACTTGCTCAGAACAGCAGGTCTGTAAGGTTTTGGGAAGACATACTGGTTCACCTGCTTCCAATACTTTGTGCCATTAGTGCATAAATATTGCTATTTCCTTCTACTTCATCAACTGCATCTTTGTTAATTGCAGGATTTCACAATGAAAACTGAAATGCACTTGAAGTCAATTGTACTACATTAAAAGTAATTTACTTATTCAGAATGTTTTCATCACTAATACAAGTCTTTATGGTACTGTATTTAACTTTAAATGACATGTTTATCAGAGTAATATCAGAGAGGAAATATTACTTACATAAATAAAACTAAAGAAATTAATCAAAACAACCAGAAAGATCTGTTTTTGTTGAAATAAAGTACAACCTAACCTGGAAAATTGGTGATAAAAAAAGCATTTTAGCATAGTAGCTCCTTTTGATTACTCAGCAAAATTTCTCTTTCTGTTAGTTATACAAATAAGCATAATTTTAAAAATTAGCGTGCCAGAGCCAACATATTCATAGGAAGGGAAACTATATTCTAACATCAACAAAAGATTAGATTAACTACAGAGCAGTTATAGAGCCAGATTTCCTCTCAATTACTCCACTGCAATCCTACTGAAGACAATAATGGTATGTAGACAGGAAAAAAAAGAAAACCATGATTACAGTGTCTTTATTGTGCACAAATCATACCGTGATTATACAAAAAAAAAAAAAGAAAGAAAAACAACTTCACTACCACATGCTAGATCCATTCTGAAGGCTAGCAAGCCCATTTTGGATTCAAATTGAACTTTAATCAAAAAGGTATGGAAATAACTGCATATTATATTGAAGCTGAAACTTTTCTAAATAATTATACATCAACAAACTTTTTCAGACAATTATTCACTGAATAATGCACAAAGGATATGAATTTCAAAAGTAAAAAATGTCACTGTAGATAAGAAATTCTGATTGAGAAATTTGCATTTTGTTTGTGCTAGAACATGTGGCCATTTCTGTTTCAGAAAAGAATACTATTACTTTCCACATAGAGACAGCAATTCCTTTAGCTTGAGTATATGGAAGAGCAATGCAAATATTAACAAGATGCACTTTCCAAATAAATGCCCCAAATTCTCCTTGATCTCAATGAAAACTTGAGAAATCTGGCAGTTTGCCTAAAAGCTTCAGCACATTCAGGAGATCAAGCCTTAGGTATCATGAGACTCTCCAGCTCATGACAGGGAATGATGTTCAGCTGGAATGAAATAGTTCTCCAGTTCTAAAAATGCTTTGACACTTCAAAGTATTTCCACATTTTGCAGTGGGATAAAACAAGGACAATGTGAAGTTTTAGTTTGTAGGAAATGACTTCAAGAAAGAGAAAGATACACCCCAGACATTACACTGATGAGTAAGTCACTGGCTTTTGACCAAATCAAGCCAAATGGATGTCTGAACCCAAAGCACCATATTTTGTGAATTTCCTGCTGCTTCCTCTCTCCCTTATATTTATTTATTCTTGTTTCATTTTGACCAGAAGTTAATCCTGAACATAAAAATTTTTTCACCACATTTCTGCTGATACACCCTCAAAAACAATTTTGGGTCTGAACAGACATTTCTATACAAAAATCCCCTAAACAACAACAACAAAAAAACAAATAAAAAAAATTCAGGTGGGAAATTTCCCCCCTCCAACTAAGTGAAGTACACATGAAGATCATCTTACATATCACTGAAATAGAAATACATTTATAATACAGGATTTCAAAACTTCCAGCCTTATTTCTGGTCATAGGCTGATTTGATACTGATGTTGAAAATCTCTAAGACTGAACCTTAGTTGGTCTTTCTAAAATATATCTCCTTCTTAATTTTGGAAACAGAAGAAGAATAATGCATTACTAATGTATAGAAGCAATTTGGAAGTTGCAAAATAGCCACCATGCTGATAAGCAGTTAAGTAAAATACACACACATTCATACAGAAAAAATTAATTTACATTCAGCAAACACAAAACCTAGTCAAGTTTAGTTCCATATCCTGCATAACAGTCAAAGCAAGGATGAACATTTACCTATAAATTTATAAAATCTGACTGGAAACCAGACTTTGAAGAGATAAGGTGTAAGTTTTTTCACTGGAAGGTACTTATTTCCTGTAATTGGAAAAAAAATAATCTAATAATCTAATTTAAAATAATTTTACTTCTATCTCATACTAATAGGCCATATAGCAAGTAAAGTTTATCAAAGTAACCTTAAGAAGGAGAAAATCTAGAGTTTCATGGCAGGAATAATGTTCTAGGATTGACATTAAAAAAAACATCAACTTTATAAAATAATAAACACAAAATATACTAATTATTTTAATTAAATTACCTGGCTTGTGGCAAACCATAGCTGGTTCCTACTCCAACACGTGGTAAGCTGTACACAACTTTTTTCACTGTTGCTTGGTCAGGAAAATTAAACATAACAGAAGCTAAATGAAGAAAAGAAAATACGGTATAGTAAAACATTTGCAGAAGTCTGTTTCTCCATCTGCATATATTTTTCAAATGCTCTGATTTCTATTTGGGGAGAGAAGTCAGTTCCACTTTTATCCTCCTGGGGATCCAAGGTACAACAGAAATTCCTGCTGTACTTCATAATTGTGTATAGTTAGCTGGTTAACGTTTTGGCATTAACTCTCCCATTTTGCAGAAGATATGAGCGTTGTTTATTTCAGAGGAACCACAGCTTACTATTAACCCATATAGCCTCTTATTCAGGCTGAGAAGTTCTCCAGTTGTTGGCACAGCATTTGGTCTTCTAACTGGTGCATTAAAACACACAGGACCAAGGAATTGTTTAATTCCTTCCCCAGTTGAAATCAAAACTTACATCTAAGCTCCTCAGGGCAAAGGACCACTGACACACCTCACCAGCCACCAACCATTCATAGTAGCACATACAGAAAACTGAGTGGATCTATTTATTTATTATCTGGTACTTTTTTACTTTAACTCAGTTTATAATTAGAAAAGGAATTATCCCTTTATATTTTTCACTAAAATAATTATGGAGATTGAGAAGAGGGGTGAGACAATAGAAAAAGCAAATTTCCTATCAAACATCTGAAGAATTTACCAATTGCAATGATGTGGTTTTGCAAATAAATCTCCCTGCTGCAGAGGAAGCAGTGAGATTGATCTATGTGATTGATTTTAACACAATTTGCACTGAATATATGCAAGAATAAGCATTATTGAACAGATCTAAGCACTTCATCGAAGGAAGCACTGAGTTTAAATTCTAAGACAATAAATAACACACAAAATAACTACTAGCACAATTTTATGCAATAACTACAACCTACTTCTGTTTGCCATAAACACTTCCAAAGCTGTGTTCTGGAGAAGATAACGTCTTGAAAAGACAGCCCGAATCTCGCTGAACATCCATTTTCCATGGAGGCCTTCAGTATAGGCGAGGACCTTTAAAGAAAGTCGAGGTGACAGCTATTAGCTGGACTCATCAACAAAATATTGTGTAAGAACACAGGAAATTTTACCCATCAATGAAGTACAGTTAAGTTAATCATATCTCTTTAACACTTAAAACTCATGAGTTAAAACATGAACTCAAATGTTTTTAAGAAATGCAATGAAGTATACCTGTTGTTAGAAGAATATTAGTAAGTACCATAACCTGATATTCCTAAAACTATTTCTCATAAGTCACATCAACTTCTTTTCCTCAAAAAACCCCCCAAACCCAAACTCTACAAGCAAGCACAGGGAAATGGACGCAGTTGCAATCATGCTTAGCTGCATTTTCTTCCAACAGTGTGCATGACATCAGTAATCTATCAGATAACAGATTTACTTCTGAGACTGTCTTATGCAAAGTACAACCAAAATTATATAACTTGCTATTCACACCCTGTTCAGGGTCATAAATTACAAGCCCCTCCATTCCATTAATAAATATAAAAATTAGCCAGAACAGTATCCAATAGTCACTTTTCTAAAGTTATTTACATTCAATATCCCAAACCATGAACAAAATTTAATGATTTGTAATTTTCCATTTTAAAAATAATGTGAAAAAATTTTAAAATAAAATAGTTAAAAATTAGCATTGCTTTTCCAGTTTGACAGTTTCTCAATTGAATGTATTGATCTAAGACTAGATATTAATACCTAAATAATATTTTTCACTTTTCTTTCAGTGTTCAGGATGTTCAGGAAAATAGGAAAAAAAAGACACAATTTATTTAGGTATCAGCTTTATCTCATCTGTGGATTACCATTTCATCAGTATCATGCACTGTAAAACAACCTTTCTCCAGTCTTTTTCATTAGATGGAAGGCTGCCTTCAGCCCTCCACATCTGCTCAGGTGGGTTATGCCATGACACTCCTACAAGGAGTCAATTGTCTGGAATAGGGACCCTCACTACACCAACCTGCATTTCCCAGGCTCTTGACTCTGCCTTTGCCTAGGCTGCAGTCACTGAGAGTTACTGCCTCAGTGAAACAAACACAATGAACACCTTCACTAAAGAGAAATGCAAAAAGGTTTCAGACTGGAGAGACTGAATATCTCTGTTCTCCATTAGGTACATAGAAACTGTCAGTACACCAGCTTGCAGTGCTCTATTCATTCAGTTGAGATCTTTACTCTCTGTAATCATGACCTACCCCAGCTTCTGAACAGAGAAATGTTAGGAAGACCATATGCTGCTGCTGTCAGTGATCCCTCATGCTTAAGGTAATGGGAATTGTATTCCTTCAGTTTTTTCACCGATGCAGTTTCAAGTTAGCAACATATCTTCATATATGAAAAAGCTAATTTAAATTTGTGCTCTTGGTGTACAACCTTTTTCTCATAACCATGTTGAGTCTATTTCAGAGATGACAGTAACAACAGCAATAACACAAATGCGCTTCAGCACATAGAAGCATGTTAACATGTTCAAACGTTAATTCTGTCCCTGATGGAAACCGGTCAGAGGAACACATTCATTCCCCTCTAATGTTCACATTAGAATAAATTGCAGACAAAAATTAGAACAACGCTGTGGCTGATGGCACTGTTTCATTCAACTCAGCTCTCCACCCTAATTAAACACACCTTGGAAGAAGGTGAGGGGCTTGATTTCTTTGGAGATACCTCAGATACATGCAAGAAACTATATGCTCCTTCCATTCAGTCACAGGCCAGTTGTGTAATACTACCTCATAGGCTAAACTCTTGTAATGGTTAAAAATCTGCACCTTATTTTTACTTTGAACTCCGGTAGATCCCAAGGTATCTTTGTGTGTGAGTCTTCTAGTATCAGATAACTTTTTCTTGTGTTGGTAATTACAGACTGGATCCAGTTACTGCTTAGCTTTCTCTTTGATAAGCTAAATAAACCAAATTTTCCCTGTTTCTTTTTTTTCATTGAGATCAGATGCTAGGATACAGCTGGTATCATGTATGTGAAATTCAGGTGGTTAAGAACAATGACTGTGAAGATTTAAGCACCCTCCTTCTTTGAATGTATTCTGATGCTATCTGATATATAATTTTTGTAAATTCACAGGTTTTTAACATATGGAGGAGGAAAACGCTCAAGTTTAAAAACCTAAAATACGAGAACAGTCTCTTAGAGAGAGGAGTTTAAATGTATGTAGGTGTAACCAGATCTACAGCAGCCAGAAGATTTTCCAAAGAATTAGTTTCTTGACAAAACACCATGCTTTGGGATATCACTTTTCATGTAAAAAATATTTCTAGTTACTTTTTTGTAAAGAATTCTATGTATTAGCATTTTAGATGATTCACAGTAATACATTATGATATATTGATATATATCACAGCTTAGTTATTATAGATCAACACTAAATCAATCAATCATACACTGGTTGCTTTTTACTCCTTCCTCTTTTTAATTAAGTATACAGCAATTGTAACTACACAGAGGTACATTCAGCCCACTATGAAATGAATGACTTAAGATAGCACTCCAGTACAACAGCAGAACAGATAGGAAATCAGAGGAAAGGAAGGAGTCTATAATTCAATTACTGTCCTCAATTACACTCTTCTTAACTGTCTATTAGTTCTACAAATATCAGATTATCATTGCCATTATAAAATAATCTCAATTATTTCAGTATTTCTGTTGTATCAATTTCCTGTCTAAGATATACTACCCATTTTTGCCATTCTCCATAGCATTCATCTAACACCATTTTCATGTGATGCATCAAACCTTCTGTTATTAGATATCTACAATTTACAGCAGATATAACTGACATTGTTTCAGGATTCTTTCTTGTTGTTATAACAGCCAAATTGAAGTAATTCAATTTTTCTGAATTTGAATCCTTTAAAAGGCTTATATAAATTTTTTTTTCTGCCAGAATGATTTTTAGCGTTTCATTTTCTCATCTCACACAAATTAAGTCCTGGCTATTTTACATTTTTTTACAGACTGTATGTATTATATATGTCATTATCTTAAAACATGGAAACAACCACTTCATTAACCAAAAGACACTGAAATTACGTTACCTAGTAATCTGAAGCCAAAATTACAATTTGCTTCATCCAACATTTCGTTCTTTATAGTTAAAGTCAGTGCTCCTTATCTTGATAGCTTTATGAGTTTTTCTCCTAAAAACAGTCATGAAGACTTTTTGTCTAGGCCTGTTTTAATGGTTGAAACTTCATGACTAAGCACAGAACTCTAGATATATCTCAGATAAACTGAGATAAAAACCAATCAGCCAATACCTACATTTGACCCCAGCACACTTTTCAATTTTAATATTAGCTGCAGCTGTTTGGTTTAAAGCACATTTTGCCTTGTAAAACCTTTTCACTGGCTCAGGAATATGAGTATATTTTAAAAATATCAATGGGTCCATGGGCCAGACAACAAAAATTTGCTAGGATGCATTGCAGCAAGACGAAGCTCCCACCTAACAAGGGAATAAGAATTCTCTAAAACTCAGGATTCTGTAATATGGAAAAACATCTATTGGTGACATTTATTTAGATTAAATTAGTAAAGCAGTGTGGGATGCAGATGAAAAGCTCTACAGAAGAGAAGCAGAACCATTACTGCAGTGCTTTCCTACTTGGTTCAAATATGAAGGCTTTATTATTTTAATTTTATTTTGATGTAATCAAGATTTTTTTTTTCAATTAAGAGTCAAGACATTTTTAGTCATAAATCTATATCAGTAATTATTCAATTATTTATAATTAACTGCTAATTAACAGCTGGAATTCTGAGGTATTGCATTAACCAGAAAACTAGAAATACTGCTAGTGTGCCTGATAGATTACCTCCACAGAAGGAACACTTATGTATTGAGGCTTATTTTTGCTGCTTTATAGCATTTCTTAGTATCTCATAGCACCAGACACAGCATGCAAAAGGATATTCTGGCCCTTTTTATTGTAATTGTTTCTGGAATTGAAATAATCATAAAATCAGGTGCTATTAAAAAACCAAGGAAAGCAACCAGTACAAGTACTATTTATTCTCAGTTGCTAACTACATGGTATGAACAGTCACTTCTACATACTGTTGCAAAGAATTGTTGCATACTTCCTTTTTTTAAAAAATAGCTTTTTTGGGTGATTCATTAATGCCTATGTATGTGAATTGAGGTTGGCCGATACAGGTCTGGGGGGAGGGGGCAGGGAATTGGAAAGGGAGCAGAGGGGAAGTGCTTTGAGCGGATCATGGTTGTTCTCCGACTTGCGGGTGGGAGTGCAGGGCTGTCCCATGTGAAACATCGCAGGTGTGCAACGCGCCTGCCACTTGTGGTGTCACAGTGGGAGAAGAATAATAATCGTCAGGGTGGAAAGTGGGTTCTTTTAGATTGATGGGGACCCCAGCCAGGCTGGGGTCTTGAAAGGCACCCTAGCCTTGACAGGTATGGGGGCCCGAACGGTTGGTCAGCTGATTTATTTGTTTGTCTATTTACCTATTTACTTTTGGCTCACCTGTGGCTACTGCCCAGGTTCGGCATGTTCTGGATATATTTTCTCTGCTCTGCTACATCCTGAAAGGGTGGGCAGGACTAAGGGCTGCTCCTGGTTGTCCCCTTATGATGGTATTTAGGTAGGTGTTAGTAAAGTAGGAATTGTAGGACTTACCCAAATCGTTCTAACAGGTAAGTAGCCTATGTACCCCCCCCCATGTGGTTGCGAGCTATGCTGGCGAGGGTTCATGCCCTCGGTAGGGTCGCCCATGCCAGACAGGTCAAAACCATAGGACCAGATTCACTTCATTCTTGGGCAGGATGAGCTCATTAGCCTTCCGGCAGTCATCCTAGGAGAAGGACAACTCTCATACCAAACCCGGGCAGATGGAGCTCGCTTAGCCCTGGAAGGCCATCCATCTAAGAGAAGGTCACTCTAATCAAACCTACGTCCTGAGGACCTCGCTGCCACCGTCCAAGCTTGCTCGGCCCTGGCAGATGAACCTC